GGAACACTATCCGTAGCAGCCTCACAAAAACCAGACCACCAAACGCGGACTGCGATTCCAAGGATGGCATTTACCGGATACCCTGCGAGTGCGGAGAATCATACATCGGTGAAACTAAGAGGCCATTGAAAGACCGCATTGCTGAGCACAAGAAACACACACAGCGAGGAGAAACTAGCAAATCCGGAATAGCAAAGCATGTTTGGACTCATCGACATAATATCAAGTGGGCTCAAGCTGAATTCATTCACAAGAAAGAACACTGGCTTGGAAGAAAATTCAAAGAAGTCACATATATGTTGTCCAACAACGCATTTAGCCAAACTAGAGTAGAGATACACAACATATGGAAACCTCTAATCAAGCGGAACAAGACCAACTCGCGCCAAACGGTCAGCTTCTGGTAAAACCGATGAAGCGGTGAGAGGAAAGAGGGGTTGAAGAAATCACTCGAATGACCTATAAATAGTCAAACTTCAGAGGAATAAGTCTAGTGTATTCTCTCAATATCCGGGGCAATCAAAGTTGCTTGTGATATTCGGGTCTCCGATCAGACGTACGACTTTATTCTGGATCAAATTTAGCAACCTTCATGTATGTGAGCAATAATTTAGAGAAGTTCTGATCTGAGCTTCATACAGCATTAAAAGTTGCTGAGTTCTGAATCGGAAGTTTCAAGCTGACTTTGCTATATCCAGTGCTGATACATATTGATAACAAATTTGATAATCAACAAATAAATAGGCATATTTAGCGAAATTTTAACCCTGATGTTATGATAACCGATTTGGTTACACTATCAACAACTTTCACCTTCTTCGAGAAAACTACTGCATGGATTTCCCTTTTATCTGTAAGTTGAATATGAAACTGAATGCAAACTGCTTGACAGAAAAAAAATTATTCGCTGTTGTTGCTTTAGAATTATCCAGTTATAATGATGGAATGATAAATTTTGGCCAGTGATTCAAGCCATGGTCTAGACGATCTAAACAGTCACTCTCAATACGTGCCTCACTAAACAAACGTCTATCCAAAGAAAATTTTGGAAATGCTCTTGGAAATCTTTTCATTTAGCAGATCTGTTGTAACTGAATTCACGTGATTTGGGTTACTCTTCAACATCTATTAGTGATTCACCCAAAACTCTAATCAGTTTTAAAATCTGTTTGTTCGTTAACCAGCTGTCACACCTCTATGAACGACAACCCTCAGAAGTCGAAACTTGTGCGAGCTAAGGATTAACGAGGTCTTACCTTTTAACGTGTGATTCCTAACACAGGTTGGACGATAGCAAGTGAAAATCGAACCACCGTCCAACACGGCAATCAAATAGAGTGAGTGAACAAAACACCCACGTTGAATTGCCTGGCCTGTTAGGACTCCAAAGAAGATCTGAAAAGATGACAGATTATCCATATCGATCAGGAATCCTTGTTGACTCATTTATATCCTGAGTAAGGTCCGATGAAAATTTGAGTCACTTGATAGTGTTGATATTAAAATTTTAAAATGTAGATTATCTGATATTGGAATATTTCAGTTACCTGAAAACAATATTGAATTTGGTTTGTTCTGAGTCAAGATTTTCACAGAATTTTCATAAGTATGAATCAAATTCGTAACATGAAATGACATGACGTATTTACATATTGAATGAAGGTTATTTTTTATAGTGAGAATAGAAGGTTTCACATACTCGTAATGTTCATGTTCCCTTCCTTCTCTCATTTTGCGGCGGAAGAATCAGAACGGCCAAACTTTAGGTGGAGAACACAGACCGTAGGAATAACAATACACTAATAGTCGACTTACTTCTCTTGATTTCATGTTGATAAAGTCAACAAATCGTATTGTTTTAACTCTTTATCGAAAGAAAACACATAATGATAGTTACTCCGATAACATCTGAACGTAACAATCATATTCTCACCATGGTAATGTTCAAAATACTACGAAACCCTTGTCATCACTTGGAAGGATCGATTGCAGCTTGAGAAATGTTTCTGATGCAGATTCTGTGAAACATGATCTTCCTTATGAATCAGTAGACAGTTGTCCTGAAAATCTTGCGAAGACAATTGAATTAGATAATTTAGGAAACACTTGTTATATGAATAGCATTTTACAAGTGTTGTTCATGACGAATAATTTCAAGTACGACGTTTTAAGGATGAACGAGAACGAGAATATTTTCTACTTATTCACCAAACTCCAATTATTGTTCATGCAGTTGCAGTTTCGTAAGAATGTATCATCTTGCATACTAGCCGATTTCCTGGATTCTTTGAAGTCCACTAGATACCCATTGGGACAACAAGAGGATTGTTCCGAATTCTTGGGGTTCTTGTTAAATACATTTCATAAGCAAAAATAGCAGAATCAATACTCCTGACCGCTCTGGATTGAATGATTCCGTACAGTCTATCTCACCTTGTCTTAGTAGATCTTCTGCTGGAAAAATCCTCACTTGTTTACTTTATAGTAAATGTTCAAGAGGTAGCAAAAACGTATGTGATTTTCTAGAATGTCAACTAGAGGTTCTCAATATGACTGATAACCAATCCGTGCAAAGCTTAATTATTGAATCATTTGAAAATGAAACTTTCAACGGGTGATGATCAACTGTATTGCCAAACATGCGCCAAACTAACTGACTATTTAAATAAAAACAAGTATAGCTGACGCACCAGTCAATCTAATAATAACACTGATGATTTTCAAACATGACTCAACCTCTGACGAAAGCACGAATCTCTTACGAAGGTTCGAAAAAGGTGAACACTAGCAGAATCTAGCAGACCACTATCATAATCTTCATGCAGTCATTGTTCACTGTGGTTCTGGCGTTGAATCTGCTCATTATTACACATTGGTCAAAAACGAAACAGAGTGGTTCAAGTTTCAATACCTACTTCATATCAAACTATAATGAAGTTTTGGAAGATGTGAAATAAACTCTATCCATAATGAATCAATGAGGGTTTTGAAGTTATTTTCAGGTGGATTTTTTCAGATCTAAAGTATGCTTAGGGGCGCATATGTGACGTGTATGTGACATCAAGGAAGTTCTGATTTGTGTAAATAACTAATTATAATACTTTATTCTCTTCCCAGTTCGAAGCACGTATTTGTTACTACACTAACATGATTCTGCCAAAACATATTCTTGTTTGTTAACTACAAAATTAATCGACAGAGGCAGGAAAATTCTGTAGTTTGACCTGGCCTCTGTCTCGACAAATGCGAGTTTTAACGGATTATTTTTCACAATGAAGCTACAAAAATATCATTTGTAAAATATAATGTGCCTCTTATTAATTTTAATCACCAATAGGTGATTTTTCATTTAATAGATGGTTCTTCATAACCGCTTCCCCGAAAGTCAAGTTCTGTAACATCGACTCCACGAAAATGGCCTCCATTAAAATTTGAATAATTATATCTGGTGTATTCATAGCGGAATTTTATTGATTCTACTGGTCACTAATATCCGAAGCCACATCTTCCTCCATTGAGATATAAACATTCGATTCAGCACCTCTTTTATAGAGGTGCATCAGCAGCTGATTTTAATGTATTTGAATAAAAAGAAGGTACAAGTGTGCTGTTAGCAAACCAGAATATTGCATTTTTTGGCGTTGTTTGAGAAACAGTTTACGTATATTATCGGTTAGTGATCATATATTCGCCAATGCAAGGACATTAATTTGGAATTCACATATATAAATTACTCAAAGGTATTTGCATAATACAATTGAATTATTAGAAAACTATTCGATCATTTTTTTCTAAATTGGCTTATTCGAAATTCATGTTGAAAATAACGAGGAACTACCAAGTTAGACAACGAAAAAGGCGATACCACACTTATTGTTCACAAGGTCTGTTCCCTCAAGCAAAGATATTGAAGGAAAATTTATCAGGGACATAAATAAGTGGATATCTGCCGCAAAGCTATTTTTCGTCTTTGTTGACTGTGGGCTGCAGGTTTCAGTATCTAACATTTCATCTATCATTATCGAAGACGATGCGGTAACGGACGAAGTGTTCTAATTGGCCTCAAAGCAGATACTATAGAATTTATTTGGGTCTTCAGAATTATTCCATTGATAGTAGCGTGGCTTCGTTTCCATTGCTTGAAACAGAGGACTCCTCGCCTTTGATAATATCTACCGCAGTAGTAAACGAAATTTTAGGCATTAAAACCTGTACCTACTACACAACCAAAAAAATTGCTTCGACACAACTAGTTTTCTGCGATCATGAAAGTTTACATTATTTGAGCAATGGATATCCTTCAATTAAGTTTAATGAACTATTCAAGAAAAGTGAAATCCAAAAGTTGTTTTCAGATCAATAGTCGAAGTTTGTTGTTGTTCTACATGAACCAGAATACAATAATGGGTTGATTAGAGCTTCAGAAAACTGACCATATCGAAAGCTTTCAAAACAACTTTTTTTTCTCAATGAATGTTAGGTAATACTAAATATGATATAAGATGAGATGGGGGAAACTGATTTAGTCTGTATTTCATGAAATTTGGAATGAGGACTGAGACGAAGGGTCAGATTGGTTTTTCCACTTGAAAATAATTTTTCTTTCAATGTTTTATCCAACATTTCTTCCATTGCATATGGAATAGTAGGCTAAGGCGGAGTGACAACATCACATTTGAAAAAATTAAATGTATTGCAGAAAAAATTTCTGAAAATTCTCCTCAGAAAACCAACACAATACTCATCGGAAACACTTTTTGAAGAATCAAAATCACTCGACCTCAGACCACTTTACTTTCTAGGAACTATTGTGGAACAACACAAAAAACGTATACAACTGAACTATGTAGATCACAAGCATATTACAAAACTTAAAACCAATGCGCAACTGAACACGACATGCTCAACATAAACAATCGTTCAGAGAACATATATTCATGTTGCAAACCGGCTCTACCATCACTTATCTCTGAAAACCAGTCTTATTATTATTATTTCAGACACCCCATCTTTCGCCATATCTCGCGAACCGGGCTTTGGTTTTCCCATTCGTGAGGGAATGCCGGTCTCTCTGAAGTGCGACGTCGACGCCAACCCGAAGGCCCTTCCCGTCTGGCAGAAGGACGACACAAGTCCTCCTGTCCAACAGAGCCCGGACGGTTACCTGAATTTCACTGAAATCCGGCGCGAGCACAGCGGATGGTACAAATGCATAGCCAGGCACAGGCTGGGGAGATTTTCCAGCATCGGATACTTCCTCAATGTCAGATGTGAGTATTTTTTTATTTTATTTGACCACATTATGTATACACACTTGTAGCAAGTCGTACATAATACACAATAAGAAAAATATTAGCCTTGAACAGACAGCATGTTACCTCAGAGCTAGTACTAGAGTGCCACCAAGATTTAGCCAAAGCCTCGGTAGATAATAACATTATCCTGAGGTGGGTTAAAGGGCACGATAAGAGTAAAGGTGATCGCATTGCCGACTCTTTAGCCAAGAAAGCGGCTGGACTTAGGACCCAGTGGCACCCACGGCCTGATGACTTCGACAATTGCGGAACTAGTCAAATGTTACACACATGCTCAATCCTTTAAGAGATGGGATGAAATCAATGGATGTAATCTTGCCAGGATCACCTTGGGCGACCCTGGGAAGCTGGCGCCGAAGAAATATCTGGCGATGACCAGGAAAAATCTACGCCTCACAGTAGGATTTCTGACTGGCCACTGTCAACTGAGGAAACACCTTCATAATATGGAGCTAGTGGACACACCTCTATGCAGGATGTGTGAACAGGAAGATGAGACTGTCAGGCATGTCCTGTGTGTGTTCCATCTTTGGAATACAGATCTTTTAGATTTTTTCATGTAAACTTCTAAATGCACCCTTTGATCAAGTAGGCTTTGGAAGATGTGGTGATAAAACAGACCGCAAATTTTTGCTAGTAGCTATCAAATTTTGATTCAAACAGTGACATTTAGTGGTTTTCATTCAATTTCCAAAAACATTCGAAATGAAGTATGAGAATTATGAAAAATTGGATGTGATAGTCTGTTTTATAGAAACCGGAAAAATGCTGAAGAAGCAAGCAATTTGTATCAAGAGAGGTATCCGAGAGTTTTTTTTTGCAAGATTGCGAAACAACTCAATTGATGGTAGGTAGTCAGGAGTAGTAGTAGTAGTAACTAGTGAGGAGTTGGAAGAAATAGTCGTTTTATGAGCTGTTGGGAATAATCACGAAACGTCAACGTAAAAATCGAGAATATCAACCAAGAGCTAACGTTCAAGCCATACAGGACCAGAATTTTTCATCAACTCGGACCAGGAGATTTTGAACGCCGCATGGCTTTTTGCCAGTGGTTCCTGGAAAGTTGCAACCAATTGCATGATTTTTCGTTAAATTGTATTTAGAAGCACAACAGAATCCTCATTCTATAGTGAAGCAGAGAAGTCAAGGAAGAGTTGGATTTAGGTGTTTTCAGGAGAAGACTCATCAGTTCGTTCATTTATAGTGGCATATTTCAGAGTTATTCTATTCGACCCTCCACCGCAACCCTCAAGGGTTTATTGTGGCTCACACCTATTCACACTCGACCAAATAAACCCAGCTTCTTAACGAAGCCAATTAATTTGTATGGTGACTGGTCTTTCAGATCGGTAAGAGTACTCTGCCAAACTCTAAAAATTTGATTCGGTCCCCAGCGGAGCAGGCACAAAGTATATGCTCTGCTGTTTTATATTTAATGAGGAAGTCGTATAGTCAAAGTGCAAGATTCCCACCTTGACACCCGCGACAACCTTCCCATATGAGGTTTTTTGCATGTCAGCTACTGACGTACAGGGCTTTTTCGCCTCTGGTTTTGGTGAATCATCACTTGAGCTCAAACGTTTGCTAACCTGCTCATGGAGGTTTTGTTCCTTCATCTGAGACAGATTTTGCGTACGCCACTCAACAAATTAGTGCAAGGCGGTTTTATAAGGTACCCCGCTTTTGAGAAGACGACTCAGTCGTTTCCTGGCTGCTCCACCAAACCTTTCTTGTAGGTTCACTTATTGGATCAGCAGTTGGGGAGTTCAGAAGCTCTCGCTCCTGAACTAAATTCACAGGGAGGTCAGTTGGAGTCGTAAGCTCGACATCCATTTCCTCTATAGACTCAGCGCCAGAAAAAATTTTTAAATTTACTCTGTTCATAAAAGTCCCACGAGTAGCTAGGGAAAGAAGGTCAATCACAGCAGAGTCCCGCATTACCGTGACAAGGCGATGCTATGACGAGAGGGCGCCTGGTATCTCGAAGGTTCCGTAGAGACAGCTGATAGGCTCAGTGTCATTCATCCTCTCCACACGGATACACACACCTTAGGATTAGGCTATTGCTGGAATTCCATTCAATTAGGAAATAACAGAACTACAAGTGATTGTGTTATTCCCGTATCCAGCGGGGCTACGTGGAAGCAGGCATCCGATGGCCGGTTTGCTCAACCCCCACATCCAAAGCCAGTGCACTCGCCAAAAATAGCATGCACAGTGATTAATGCAGTGAAAGATGATTAAGAACAGCCAACCCGCCACTAACATAGCTCAGAAAAATGTATTTTCAACAACACGGGGCTTCGCCTCACAACACTGCATTTGTTACAAAATTTTGGCTGCAAATTTTGGTAATAATTGGATAGCCAACCAAGGACCCAACCGTTGGCCGGCCAGGTCACCGTACCTTACGCCTATGGACTCTTACCTCTAGGGAAGGTTGACAGATCCAAAGCCTCCTTGATAAAAGTGTGCGTTTCAAAGTCTACACGAAAAAAAACTAAAAGATCTGTATTTCAAAGGTGACTCTAGCAAAATATCAAATGTGCTACCTTTTTGGAAAGGTAATTTTGAACTCTATCGAAATATGCAGGAATCACAGGATATCTCATTGAAACAATAGTTTTTCATCAAGCACTATTGATATCTCATTTGAAAAAATAAGCTTTTCAAACCATTAAATTCCACGTCAAAAAGTGCATTGTAAATGTTTTCAGCTTTTTTCAGTTCAAGTTTTTTCTGTTATTGTATTGTTAATTTCAGGTTCAGCAAATATTATGGAACAACTACTTTTTGAAGAACAAGGGGTACGCACGGCCTGATTAACCCTTATGCTAATTAGGCTGCAGCCTAAGGCGCAAGGATCAGGGGGGCGCGCTGAAATAGTGTCAACTAGAGCGAGACAAAACACTAACACTAAATGTGCCGTCAATAAAAAGCTTTATTATTTCATGTATGTTCCTGAATGTGGAGATAACATTTAAAAATTTTTTGACAGTGAGTGTTACCAACTGCAGTGGCGAAAGGTCTTTTTCAGCCCTTAAAAGAGTGAAAAATTGCTTGCGCCCCACACTTCTCCAGCAAAAACTTGCAACACTCTCGCTCGCTAATATACATACTATTCTATTTGAAAAAAATGCGAAAAGATTTGCAAACGCTAAAGCACGAATAAGGACTAGTATAAGCTAATAATAATTACTTATTCACTATAATTTTCAAATGAATCATTAATCAGTTGCAAAAATGTTTCACTTATATGATGCCTCTCATCTTTTTCCAAAGATAACAACAGAAGTGTAAATATTTGAAAAATACTCAAAGTCGAAGCAACTTCACACACTAGATGCGGCCGAACACAACATGGATTTGATTTTCTACTTTGTAACTTGCAATCTCTTGTCATGATTTTGGTCGTATACTGCGTAAAGTGTATTGCCTTTACGGTTGCCTTAGATTGAATGTATTGCAGATGAAAGGACAACGTTAGTTTCGTTTGCAGATCGATCTGAAAACTTTCAATGTAGTATGAACTATGTTAAAATTTTCACACTAGTTGACAAAATCAAAACCAATATACTTCTTTTCAAGCCGATCTTAACACACCCGGCGGGTGCGTGTCCTGATAATCAACCTAGGGTGGTCAGAACTCTTTATCAGTCGCTGGAAGTACGGTCGTAAACAATGATCGTTTTATTTGGAGTTGTTCTCAGCGAGTTTCTGTGTTCAAAACGAGTCGAGCATTTCAACCGTTACCTCATGGCCTTTGATAATGTCTACCGCAGTAGTAGAGACATAAAAACATGCGAACCACAGCTGAAAAAAATCCAGAAAATAGTTTCGACAGTTATCTCCGGCCGTGGAAGTTCATACTCCGTGGTCATTAAGTTCATACTCTGAGGTCACTATTTTATTTTTCAGCAAAACTTTACAAACAAACGAGTGAAATGATATACAACCCATATAATTCTAATTCGTTCAGTAAATAGAGCACCTTCTATAAAAAGTATTTCATAGTATGTTCATCCAACACTCACTACTACATTGAAGGATCCTCTTTGCATTGCATCGTGTAACATATGTAGTTGTCTTCTGTAACTTCCGTCATTTCTCTCTCATTTGTATTTTGCGAGGTTAGTGAATGATCAATTAGGCTAATTCCACCTATCACATAATGACTGCCTTTCAAAAAAGCAAGCGCTGCAAGCAGCTATTAACTATCCTTGATTGTGGAGTGATGCAAATAACGGATCAGGACTGGTATAGGGAAATTTTATTCAGCCTGGACAGCAAAACTGCTGTAAAGTGGAATCGAAACCTCTGACTTCAAAAAAATATGAAACCCACTATCAAATAAGTTTGATGTTCGTGACGATCAGAGATGCATATGTATTGAGAAAATTAATATTTCAAGTCGAAATTCGAAATATTCATTCCGTTCCACGTCTCTACAAATAGTTGCATGCGAATTTTTTCCACCGCTTCCTTTTCAGGAAAAGGATGATTATTGAAATATATTCCAGTCCATTGAAGAATAAGAATCGAATTCAACAAAATATGGTACTATAAATATTTCAAAAATGACAATAAAAACACCAACTTGTGGCGTGAAATTGGCGTGAAATTGGCGCCAAGAAAAGTGTAAATATAATGTGCAGAAGAAGCATTTATTTGTATAGGATAACTACGATTATATGTTACATACTACCGATACACTGTCAGTACGGCGGGCTCTTTATCGGTGAAATCAAGTGAAACTTCGTATTAAGGAGTACAAGAAAATCGCCCTGCGAAGAAAATAGCGGAGCATATTTGAACCCACCAATAAAACATCAAGTGGTCCAAAGTTCCAAATTTCTGCAAGGAAAGATACTGGTTCAAAAAGAAGTTTGAAGAAACTGCTTCCATATAAATCAACGACGCATTCATCCCTTTTAGTATAAAGATTTATGATCTTG